ATTTTTTGAAATACTAACATAAAATACACATTCTGGTACTCTCTTGAGAAGGAAAATAAATAAATCTATTAATACACGACATATTTAAAAAAATGAATGCCATATTAGTTTTTTGTTACTTTGTTCTGAAAGCTGAACCTGCTGCTCCTCACAGAGAGAAGAGGGAAGAGGCTGTGTGAATTACTTTACATTGTGGATAAGGGTGGATAGTAGGGCTGCACGATTTTGGGAAACAAATCTAATTGCGATTTTTCTGACAAATATTGCGATTGCGATTCGATTTGCGATATTTGTTTTTAAGCGACCCAACGGAAGTTTATTGTAAAATGCGGCCATATTTCCGGCTAGGAAGGTCGCATCACCATGCTCACCATGCTCCCGTCTCTAGTGAAATAACTAAACGTACATGAAACTTCCGTTGAGTTGCTTTAAAGTCAAGCTTCAGTTTAAGATTCACCCTGTAATAGATGTAAAACATGTGATGGAGCATCACTAACCTGACTCAGATGGTTTGTTTCACCAAACCATCTAGGAAAGCTCCATTGGAAGCCATTTGGAAAAGTATTTCAAAAATACTTGGCAGGTGATTGGATCAATTTGTATTTGTATTTATTTATAGAAGGACCATGCATACAAAAACATTAATCTCAGCAAAGAGAAGAGATACAATATGCCAGATTATAGCTAATAGCTCATTTCCATCTGTGGTCCTCAGACAGGTTCATAACAATCAATAAACAAATAATAACATTGCATGATCTCTATCAGTCAAATAATTTAAAAACCTGATTTTAAGTACAGCTCAATACATTAATACATAGTACACTTGAAATACACTTACATGATCTCGGTCACTCAAATAATTATAAAGCCTGATTTAAATACAGGTCACGAACATAATACTTAGTACACTTCAAATACACTTAAATCAAATATCTAAGATATAGTATGAAATAAAAAAAAACTTACAGTGTGATTAATGTTGGCATGAGTGGTTGCTTAATATCATTTTTTTTGCACCATGGGAAAACGAGTTAAAATCAGTACAGGTTTTAAGTTCAACTGGAAGAGTATTCCAGTGCTTGATGGCCGTAAACAAAAATGCTGAAAATCTCTTCAACCATCAGTGAAAAATAAAAATAAATATAAAACGTTGAAAGTTAGAACCAGTTTGGTAACGTCAAGGGATTATCTAATACAAATTGGTTCATTTAAATCAATTTTTAATGTTCAATTGAACAAGCTGGCCATAGACTACAGCTGAGGATATACACCCCAAAACCCAGTAATCTGCATTTACCAGGTTACATTGTACATTGTTACATGTAACCTGGCAGTGTATTTAGCTTTTAACGTGATTTATACAATAATAAAATCTTAATTTAACAAACAGCATATCTATACCAGTACTGGGTAGTATGGTACTGCCAGAATACTTTAATACGTAGCATAACAATCATGTGATTTCAGCAAATATTGCCAGTGTGTCTGGCATTAAAACATACCTGGATTTTGTATACAAAATGAGTTAAAAATAGAATATAGAGAAAGTTATGTTGTAGCTGATGATATTATTTGTTTCCAGTTGCAGGCGTCTGCCACCCAGCAGGCCTTTGTGTTGAATCAAGCACTAACAACATGCAGGTAAGTCCTTTCAAATTCTCATAACTCAAATTTACTGACGGCTGTGATCATTCATAACAACATTCGTAGATCCCAAGCCCACATAAACCCTTTTTTATTTTACCCTTAGACTTCAAACATTTCCTCAACTTGTCTATTATTTTCTATTTTGTTGCCATGTTTGTTGGTTATGGTCACATTTTATGCATTTAAGTAACTGCTGAGATTTAGTTTGGCGGCGATATCTACGTCAAACACCTCAACAAAAGTGGGGTGAGATGATCTGATTAAACTATAAGTAAATCAGAAGTTAAAAACAAATATCTAAGCCACCTAATTTGGCAGGAATCACCAATATTAGAATTGGAAAAATACTTATAAAATAAGAATCTAAAGTCTATACTGAAAGGCAACTATCCAATTTGTTGCAGGTGTACACCCATCAGTTGTTATTTCTATCATCTTGTTATTCCTAAGAACGATGATATGATCCCTGTCTTTAAATCTAATACCGTTTTGTAACTAATACTTGTGTGATTACAGAGCGACGCCATCCATCCAGCATCCGGTTTGGGGTGAGTATTTCAAAGACTACAATGAATACACATTAGTATGTAGACAACGTTATTTTTGATGAACTTTAAGTCATTTGTAGACATGTGTTTACATAATATGTATTAAATTGACGTTTGTTCTCTTCACCCTCAGCTTCTGTAAACGAGAGACAATATAAATCCATGCCCACGCACGGGATCGGGAGGTGGAGACATCTTTTACCCAAAGATCCGGTACGACTCTTTAAACTGGATTTCATTTTAGAAAGAATAGTTTATGCCTCTAAATGAGCTGTAGGTGCATTAATGAGATCATGCAGATAGTTTCCAGAAACCCAGACCTTTCATGTAAGGCTGTAGAAAATAACTTCTAATGGCAGGTTCCTTCTTCTTTGTTGAAAAATGACATTATATATGTGCAAGAATCAGAATTCCTTTATTAGTGGACATTGTTACAGCAGAAGTGAAGATAGAGGCACCAAATAAAACACTGTTCGATAAAGGGCATGCACATAATAGTTAAAATACAAAAGGGAAAGTTATTCCAATTTACATATTGCACACAAGTGTAATACTTCCTTCAAGCATGGAGCATTGTAATTACATCGCACACATTTTAAACAGCCAACGCTGATGAATAGACAAGGAAAACATAGACATAAAATAATATCACTGATAAATATTTGACATAAAACTGACTAACTAACTGACACTCAAAACTCCTATATTTTTTATATTTGGGATGACGGTAGTTATGGTGAAGTTTTAGATCTTCATTGACAAATGTATAAAGTGTAAAACATGAGATTGTGAGGAAACATAAATTGATTAACGAGATTTCCTGCTGATGGTAAATGCTACTTTTTCCCTCAAAAATCCATTGAAATGTAATTGTTTACATGCAATAGTACAAAAAAGAAGAAAATAATACAAACACCAAACTTTATTTATCAAATACTTTTCTTTTTTGGGCAAATTGTAAATGTATGTCCTAGCTTAAAGGGGACCTATCATGCAAAATGCACTTTTTGATGTATTTTATACATAAATATGTGTCCCCGGTGTGTCGGGGAACTCACAGCGTCAGAAAATAAAACCCTCTCTTTTCCTCCATACCCAAATCTTTTAAAAACGGGGGTACAACGAGCGGATACGGATTCCATCCGAACTGACGTAAATTTGTCGACGGACCCACAGAAAGTTGCTATCAGAAACAATGCCTGACGTGTTTTGGACGTAATCTCGTCTTTGTTTACATTAGCAAGCCTCGCTACCACTCAGAGCTAACCTTTACTGGACAGCACATGTGTTTAAAAAGCAGGATATAAAAAAAGGACCTCACCTTGTGATGAACCCTCAAGAGAAAAGGCATTTGAGCTCCATACTGTTTCAGAAATAATCCTTGATGTGGTTTAGAACAGGATGGCGTTTTATCACAGCAGAATTTAACTTTATCTCCGGTAGAATTCTGATCAGGCATTAGCTCCGCCTCCTCTTATTTTATTTTTTTCAAGCTAAGGACCCAAGATCTGCGTTTCTCTAACAGGGCTTCAAAAGAGGGGTAAGAGCAGTATGAGGGAAGGCTACAATGGGTGATCTGTTTGGTATTTTGAAGGAAAAAAACTTCACAGACATGCTTTATATAGCTATGGCCCTACAATATATATTTCAAATATAGCATGATAGGTCCAATTTAATTAAGTGGTAAGTCAATAGGAAATAGTGAATGTATAGAGCGCCCTCTGTTGGACCTAAAAGGCAAATGACTTCAACGGTCTGTGAGGCTGTGCATTTTCTGAATAGGTCATCACAGTTTGAGTATTTACATTTACTCAAATGTTTACCCTACACTTCAGTGTGTTTGATCTGCATAAGGCTGGAAAACAACTGCATTTTAAATGTCTGCTGTAATTAGATTTTGTTGTTTTCAGCCAAAGAAGAAGAGGGACAGGCAGCAGATGAAGGAGATCGTCGTGGAGACGGAGACGACGTACGCCACTCTGAACGTCAACGTGTCGGGTTACGACATGACGGTGGTGGAGCATTTCTCCCAGCACATCCACAACCTCTGCAACCGGCTGGGCATCAAAGTGTTGGACTGGTGAGGACATTCAGGTGTGTGTGTGTGTGTGTGTGTGTGTGTGTGTGTGTGTGTGTGTGTGTGTGTGTGTGTGTGTGTGTGTGTGTGTGT